CATTTACTCAAGCTCATTCTTCTTCTTCTTCTTCTTCTTCTTCTTCTTCTTCTTCTTCTTCTGTATGTCATGTCCTTGCGGGATGCTGGCGATCATGGCTCTCCACAATTTCCTAATCTTTGTCTTCTGTGTGTATCAAGTTTTTCAAGCCCTCTTTTCTCATTATGTGCCTTATCATTATGTGCCCTAAGAATTTCAACTGTTTCTTTCTGTTTTTGAATATTAAGGGATTTTTAACACCAAAAGTTGAGTTTTGTAAATTCGACTTTTACTCGAGTATGAACGTTACATATAACATGTCCCAAGCGAACAACAGAGTACGAGAACTCACATTAGAACGAAATTCTCCTTTTCATTCTGCGTTTTTTTCCTCAACCACCGTTTTTCCGTCACATTTGGTCCCATACATTTGCCGGATTATCATTGAATCTTCCAACATAAGAAAGATGAAATACTTGTACAGAAAATAATAATATAATCAAAATGTTAATTTTCCACCCAACCAAGAAGAATTCTTTATGTTCCGTGTCTCTTCAAGATGTAAGCGATCATGGCTCTCCACCTCTTCTTGTCTCTTTTAGCTCTTAATAAGTTTTCTCTTTTTGTTATATGTCTTAAACCCTGTTCCGCCATCCGTTTACTCAAGCTCATTGAGTATGCTTAGTTTTCCTCTGTCCCTCTTTCCCTTAATCTGTCCTGTGAGTATCAGATTTTCCGAACCCTCCTTCCTCATTATGTACCCGAGAACTTTCAACTGCCTCTTCCCGATGTTAAGTATACATTTCCTTTTTGTTTCCATTTTCTCGAAAACCTCGTCGTTGCTCAGATGTTCGGTCCATAGTATCCTCAGCATCCTTCTGTAGAACCACATTTCTGTTACTTTAAGTCTTTTCTTCATCTCTGAGGAAATTATTCATTCAGTACCATATAGGGAGGACAGATATCACGAAACAGTTCAGTATTCTTTTCTTTGTTTCTAACGAAGTTTTTCTATCTCAGCTAGCTTTTGGAAGGCATCTTTGGTCATCCCAATGCGTCTTCGGATTTCAGTGTCAGACTTTTCGTTTTCTGTTAGAACACTTCTCAGATATTTAAATTTTTCTTCTTGTTTGATTTTGATATCTCTGATTTGTAATTCGCATTTTGGACTCATCCTTTTGCTAACAACCATTTTGTTTTCATGTAGTTGATTTTAGCCATTTCCTCTCACTTTCCTTCACTACATACCTTAGGAGTTTTTGTAGTTTTCTTTCCGTGTCCGCTATCAACACTGTGATATCAGAATATCAAGATTGTGGCCGCCAATAATGAATCCCGGTAGGACCCCTAATTCTCTCAGAATTGTCTCACTGCTTAGGTTGCCGGCGAAAAGACACATCCTTGTCTTATATCCCTTTCTATATTTGTATAGCTACTGAATTCATTTAGTGGATTTGAAATGTGTAATGGCAAACACTTCTTCCTGAAAAACTATTTTATAAATCGACAGTAACAGTAAATCGCTCAATGAATGCTGAATTCTTTCTGTAGCGAAACGGATAATTTTACCATTACCATTTTGATCAATTTTACTCTGCTATTCATCAAACTCGACCAAGACGGGGAATTTTAAACCAAAGTACATTGTTATGAAACTCTTGTTCTGCTACAGGAAATGTTAATGAAGAGTGCTTTGAAGAACATGAAGTGTGGGTCAGCTCCAGGTCAACTCTCCAATTGTAAGCGGAAATATCAAACGAACAGGAAGAAGTGTATACCATTACGCATGCGTGTATTCAGAAAAGCGTGAGAATGAAAGACATTCATATAGGTATTAACTTACTAAGTTTAACTTGTGTCTGACACAAGGCCACAAACATAGGGCACACAATTTTGTATTAACTACACCGTATTAAGAATGTGCTCGTTACCGATTACTCCACATCAGATCGCTTTTAGGTAGATACTAAGAGTTTATATTTTCTGTCTGAATTTCTGGGATAATTTGGTTTGGTTGTTTTTGTTTAGAGGCATATCAGCACCTCTTTGGGTCATTTAATGCCAAAATTTATAAATTTATATTCATTTTTATGGCTTCAATTACATATATTCTGTACATAATTTTTAGACTTCGCATGTTATATATATATATATATATATATATATATATATATATATATATATATATATATATATAATAATAATGAATATATTTTATCATCTACAAATATATATATATATATATATATATATATATATATATATATATATATTTGTAGATGATAAAATATATTCACTATTTACATTATTCGGACTATTGTCCTCACCTTTGTTGCCATATTTATTACAACGTTTTGGCCGTTGTACGCTCCGGCCCTCTTCAGGTGGTTGGAATGTCGAACTGAACCCGTTATTTCGCTCAGTGGAGGAGACTGTTCTAGTTCCACGTGCCATTTCTAATGGATGTCAGTTATCAGTTATCTCCTATTAATTCCCCTCCCCAAATTCTCCACTGCCTTAACCGGGTATTGAACTCACACTCTTTGGGTCCTGTCACTGAATCTAACTAACATATGTCCTTGAGTGAGCGAAAAAAAGGGTTAAGTTTGATATTCCAACCACCTGAAGAAGGCCTGAACGTACAACAGCCAAAACGTTGTAATAAATATGGCAACAAAGATGAGGACAATAGTCCTAATAATGTAAATAGTGTACATAATACTTCATCTCAGAAATATAGAGAGATACTGAAAGGCCGAAACGTTGTAATAAATATGGCGACAAAGATGAGGACAATAGTCCGAATAATGTAAATAATGTACATAATACCTCATCTCAGAAATATAGACAGATACTGAAAGGCCGAAACGTTGTAATAAATATGGCGACAAAGATGAGGACAATAGTCCTAATAATGTATATAGTGTACATAATACTTCATCTCAGAAATATAGACAGATACTGAAAGGCCGAAACGTTGTAATAAATATGGCGACAAAGATGAGGACAATAGTTCCTCAGAATAATGATAAATTTTTTAGTGTACAATAATAATAATGTATATAATGTCATAAATATCTCAGACAGATACTGAAAGGCCGAAACGTTGTAATAAATATGGCAACAAAGATGAGGACAATAGTCCTAATAATGTAAATAGTGTACATAATGCCTCATCTCAGAAATATAGACAGATACTGAAAGGCCGAAACCTTGTAATAAATATGGCAACAAAGATGAGGACAATAGTCCTAATAATGTAAATAGTGTACATAATACCTCATCTCAGAAATATAGACAGATAAAACATATTGTTGGTATTTTTTTAAAAATGTATTGCGGGTAATTTTACAATACAAATGTATTTTTATACTCTTTTAATGTTGTATTGCAGGTCATTTCGCTATGACATACATTCAATTCTTTTGTGAGCCATGTCCTTTCAGGATGTGGGGGATCATGGATCTCCACAACTTCCTGTTTTTTTCTTTTACTCTATGTAATTCTTACCCCTTTGCTATCCCTCTTTGTCTTTCTACCATGATCCATTCATTTTTCTTTTATGTTCTTTCATGATGTGGGCGATCATGGCTCTCCACAGCACCCAAGCGGTATGGTTATTAAATTAAAATTGAACTAACTAATCATAAATAGAAAAACTAGCAAAAATTCGACGACCTCCAGTGTGTTTGTTTTTGTGTGTAAATGTGTCGATTTTTATAAATATGGATGACCACACATGACATAATCAGAAAATGAGAAGAGCTACCGTATTACATTCAAAGTTTATTGGTAATTTTCTAATGTTTTCTCAATAAACGTTTTCTTAATTAAGCCAAAGTACCTAAAATTCAATAAAATATTGTATTCATTAAAACATTTTCTTACATTTTTAATATTACTTGGCAGTTAAAAAAGAAAACTATATAAATCAGGCTTACACGTTGTGTTCATTAAATAATTTTTTCAGTTCTGCCCCCGTTACTTAAATTTCCCAAATATCTGGCTTCAGTAAATCCCACAACACACGAGAAAACAATCTCTTCGTGTTAAAAAATACTTTTCTGCTCTATTTTGAACTAAGATGTGATTCAATTCAGATTATTTAAACTTTATATCAGTTACCGTAATCGTCTTAAAAGAATGTTTCAGAAAAGTTTATTTCATTTTTATTTTATTTTTGAAAGATATTTTTAAAAAAAAGAATTGTGTTAATAGATCTGTCGATATGAAAGAATTTATAGATTTTACTGATAAGAAGGAAAGAAATCCCAATTAATTTAAATTGAGTCTGAAATGCAGCAAAGTATTTTGCTTATTGTAAATATTTAATTTAAGCAATTAACTTGAAATTAAAAGTAAAATTAAATCTTCACGAAAGATATTTCATTTTCAAAATGCATTTTAAACTTTAGGTATCGCTTTTTCTTTCTTTCTTTTTAGCATGTATCTGATTAAATTTGTCTCACAAATTATATACATATATACATACATATTTATATATATACACACACACACACATATATATATATATATATATATATATATATATATATATATATAGAGAGAGAGAGAGAAAGGAAGAGAGACATATTATGTCTATTTTATTTAAACTTCTCAGATTAATGTTGTTTTTAAACTTATTAAGTAAGGCGCCGTAGTTTTTCTCATTTATTTTATTTTCCCAAGTACTTTCAACCTCATTCAAGATCATCTTCACTTTGTCATTGATTTTACTAATACACACACAAACGCACACCGACACACACACACAGAGACACACACACACACTCACACAGGGTGTTGCAGCAAAATCCGACACTTGACAAAAAGAAAACGAAATAGGCAATAAAAACAAAAGTTGTAGATGCAGATAACCGACAGTTTGACAACTAACATTTTTCTGCCTACCCTTTCTCCCTGCCAGGATGGAATATGAGCGCAGAGCAGCGGTAGTAGCTTGTTTTCGTGTCGGGAAGAAGCCTGCGGAAGTGATGGCCTGGTTTGGGTTCAAGAGGACCATGGTCATAGACATTTGGAGGAAGTGGAAGGCGTGTGAAAACAAGGACGAGTTTACTGTCAAACGAAAGGCCCATAATGTTCGTTCTTCAACCGTTAGGACCGCCGCCGTCAAGGAGACAGTCGACAATGATGGAAGCCAGAGCTACGCGAAGGTCACCGCCGACATGGGCTGTCACAAGTCGACGATCTGCCGAACGATCAAGAAAGACATTGGTTACTCCTCCTACCGCAAGTATCACCGCATGCTCATCACGAATGCCTCCAAGGAGTCGAGGAAGGTCAAGACGGCGATCTCGTCCATCCAGGGCTTCACCACGCTTCTCAGCACCTCCTTTGCTGAAGGAGCTCAAACACGGGTCCGCCGAGACGCTGAGGTTTTTCTCTGGTGAAAAGGATTTCGTCCAGGACCAGACGAGCAACAGGCAGAACGACAGGTTGATGGGCAAATACATCGAGGAGGTTCCCGTCATGAAGCATACAAAGTTTCCCTCCTCCATCATGGTCCTTGGCGTCATCCTCCGTTCTTCTTTGAAAAGGGCCTGAGAGTCACCGCTGAGATCTACCAGGAGGTGCTGAGAAGCGTGGTGAAGCCCTGGATCGCCGCCGTACGCCCCTACGTCTTCCAGCAGGATTCCGCTCTCGCACACAAGGCAAAGACGACCCAGGCGTGGCTACTCAACAATGTTCCTCACCACTGGTCTCCGGACTTGTGGCCACCCTCTTCACCCGAATGCAACCTCCTTGACTATTTCTCCTGGGACGTGATCGAGGCCAAGACCAACAAGCACGCCCACAACACGGTCGGGTCTCTGCAGGATGCCATCGTGGAGGCGTTCGCCGCTATGAACAAGGATATGGTCGCCAAAGCGTGTGACTCATTTCGCGCCCGCCTTCAGATGGTCGTCGCCGCCAGCGGCGGTTACATTGAAAAATTATGTAGTATGAAACTCTAACTGTTGCTAAATAAACTCTCGGGTCACTGCATCTACAAGTTTTGTTTTTATTGCCTATTTCGTTTTCTTTTTGTCAAGTATCAGATTTTGCTGCAACACACTATATATATATATATATATATATATATATATATAATTTTTTATAAAAAATTTATAACATAAGTATGTTATAAAATCACTACAAAAATAGCCATTTTGTTTCAACACACTCTGTGTCTTCTCAAGTGATGATGTTGAAAAGAAAATAAATGGTTTTAAAAGTTTCAGTTTGATATATATATATATATATATATATATATATATATATATATAACAAAAAGAAGTAACAAACAGTCTTTAACATTTCTTTTTAAAAACAGTGCTCGATACACAGTAGAGCCTAATATTATAATATTATTTAAAAATATTTATTCATCGCGACACAGAAATTACTATGTTTCGGATCTAAAAACTAAACTTTAAATTAAACTTAAAATTAAAGTTTTTGTTCCATTCTCTAGAGATGTTGCATAATTTACGAAAATAATTTTTTTTTTTCGTTTTTCGACTGTTTCGTTGTATCACAGATCATCAGCGTGAATAGACATCCGATTGCCTTAAGCCATGATTGAAACCCAACCGATTTGGCATCAATCAGAGATTTTTCCCCTGAGCTATCAGCTCCCGGCACAGAGGATGGTGAATTTTACGCATTTATTTTAGAAAAAACACGCCAATGACTCGGAGTGCTCAATTCATAGAAAAGATATGCTTAATACAAATATAAAATTTGTCCCTCAGATGATTGATGCTATATTTATCACCTCCATTCCAGAGCTTCGTAGACGAATCTTTGTGTAATTATTAGCTCCACTCATCAGGAGATATAAAGCAAATGTTTGTCAATTTTCTCGTTTTCATTATTTTTATATTAAGTTAAAAAAAAATAGTAATAAAATCTACACATTCAGTTAAAAAATTTTTATGTTTGATAATGGCGAAACGAATAGCCAAAATCGCTCAAAAACACAGAACATTCGGACAATTTTTAGTCACGTTATGTTCAAAAAAGAAAAAAACTTATACGAACTTAAGAAAAATTAAATAATAAGCTTCACTAGTCAGTCGTCTTCAATGAAACTTGTATAAAAGAAGGATTGCTGCCCAAATACACAATTATATATGGATATAAATTTCCCTTCGCCTTAGAGTAATTTAGTAAGTGGAGGTAACTTGTGGCACAAGGCTGAAAGCATAGCGCACCAAGTGAGGATTGAACTCACGACTCAGTGATCGAGCGAGACAAGATGGCTAACAATTACACCACGTTAAAGTTCCCTAGTCTTACTACATATATATTCATAACTAGTCCTAGTTCTTGTCTACCGCAGCCATTTCATCTCTCACTCTCTCCCCACCTCTCTCCCCCCACACACACAGACTTTTTCTCTTTGTCAAGTACCTCGCCTCTTTCATTTTTACCGTTTATGCAAAATGTTCTTCTACCATCCCTCTTTCTCGCGCTTTTTGTCATTCCTTCCATTACTGTCACTCTCTATCACTTTCATCTCTCTCTCTCTATCTCTCTCTCTCTTTGTCTCTGTCCCTGTCTCTCTTTCTCTCTCTCAAAAATATTTTCTATCTATTCTCTACCACCACCACCACCCCATTTTATAAATAAATTCGCCAGCTTTCACGAAAAAAATTAAAAAGATTCAGATGCTTCTTTTAAAGCCGACAAGCCCATTGCAAAAAAAATAAAAAATAAAAATAAAAACAAAAATAAAAAAATAAAAATAAAAAACGAAAAACAATCCGTTCAAAACCACCATCAATGTTTCGTTTCTTTTTTATTTTAATTTTTTAATTTTTTGAACAGAAATCAACTTCCTTTTTTGTCGGCCACCGTCCTGCAAACATTACACACCTGGTTATGTTTTATCATATACGTAGAACCCAAATCAATCTCCGTTATAACTACATCATTTTTTCCTGCCAGCAAGATAACTTGGTATTGCATCCGTTTAAGATTATCGACCCCGACAGCTGGAGGTGCGGGTATCATAAATGGGAAGCGGCGATCTGAGTTCAAATCCGTTCCGTGTCTGTTACATCCGCTTCACACTAATACTCTTGGGAAAAAACACGAATGTATTTCTTTTCCTCTTAGCTATGAGTTAAATAATAGGGTAGACTGTGACACTATTTAGCTATGGTAATTGGCTAACTAATTAAGCATGGAAATTAAAAACGAGAAATACTTAAAGCGAGAAAGAGCTATAACGAAAGACATACCGAGTGACATTATTTTTTTTAACAAAAGAAAAATGGGTAAAGATTTTATTTTCATTTACGAAGAAAGATATTTTTTCGCAGAAGACAGAAAATTCGTGAGAGAAGCAGATTTCAGATTCTGTCGGAATTAGTTAATTAATAAGAGAGTGACGCGCCAAGGGAAACAAAATACGGGTAAAGAATAACAATTTCACCACACACGTAGTAATAATAAAAATTTCGATTCGGTCAGCTGCATGTAGGCCGAAGTAATCGAAATTCGGTTATCTTGGATTCCGACGAAGAAAGCCAGCCGTATGAATACAGACCTTGATATGGTCATTGTTACTGCATGTTCAGACTGTTAACGACAGACTTTCTGTCACCGAGAACGGGCATCTGGAAAGGCAGACGAGAAAGACAACGAAATTTGATCTTCAGGTGGAAAAAGACCACCCAGTTAAAAGTTGACTGCAATTAATGAGTCGGCGGAGAATCCCGCTAATGAATCCCTGGTGCCCCCAGGATAAGATAAAAATTTAATGACCCTAATGTACGGTCCATAAGAATTCTGGCCGATAGAAAAGAAAGAAAGAAAAGGGGAGATCATTTTTTTCTTTGGGCGATAATGTAAACTAATGCCCGTCTAGCCACACCCACACCGCCAAGAGATCATTGGCTAAAGTGGTAGCATGTGTGATAGGCGGAGGTGAATGTATGAGAAAGAATGGAAAGTTGTTGATGCCAACTGAAGGGATTGGTATGAGATACCAATATGAGAAAGGAAGAGTTTAGGAGGATAATTCTCCTTCGACCTCTTGTCAGAGAAGGGGGAGAACACCTCTAAAACAGAAAGTAATTGACTTCCAAAAATGGGAAGTGATAAATTTTCCTGTCCGAAGACAAAGAGAATCCTTATTGGGGATTTAGAATTATCGAAGAACCCAAACCACGACAGGCCCCAACCCGGTTTTGGTCGATGTCCATATAAACGAACGTCCCCGGGCGTTCAGAGTAGGGTTGGAGATCGGAGACAGATCGACAGAGAGCTGTTGGGCTCGGAGACCAGCCTCGCAGGAGCTGACCGAAAGATTTCCACGCCTTCTGACCTAGACTTCTAACCAAAAGCAATTTTTAATGTAGAACGACTTAGAATTACACCACCAAAGCAAGTTTTAATGAATATCGACTGAAGATACCAAAAAGCAGTTTATTGAAAAACAACTTAAGATATCAAGACTCGCTTAAGAAACGCAAAAGTGTTACGAATCCATAGAAGCGGGTTCGGAGAAAGACGCACTCCTGTGTTCAGCAGACAGATATAAAGATACTTGTTATTTCTCAACACATTTGAACCTCCTGAGTTTGTTTCATTATTTTTTTTTACATGCACTTGTGCGGTATCACCTTTACCCCGGATTCAGCTTGCACTACGGCCCGACGCCTGATTGATTTCGTCTACCTAAGATCAAATCACAACGTGGGTAGGTTAGACTAGAGATCAAAGCAGTTACTTCGGTAACTAGACGTTGGGGGCGAGCTGAGAACGCCAAAGCTGATATCGAATCTAACCAGACATCGACCGCGACCAAGACAACCAGAGGGGTTAGTATCACAAATGGTTCCGTGGTAAACCAGGTTTTCACCCAAACCAGCCAAGGGTTAGATCGTCACAAATGGTGCAACCAGCCCAGGGTTAGAGTGTCACAAGACTCTACTCTCTAGCCTTGGGAAGATGAACCTTCTAGAAGAATGTCAAGTTTAAAACTGTGGAGAATGCAACGAGAAACCACTTTATGATATTTCCCAAAAAGACATACCGATACACAGATAATAAAAAATGACTTTGTGAAGAGTCTTAATTGCTTGCGTCCAGAAAAGACAATGCATTCTTTAAAATATTTACAGGGTTTAACTTAATACGCCTCAAAGTGACGCGATTGATGAGGTGTCGCTACTGTCTTTTCAGGTTGGAGTTTGGAGATGATGCCATTTAACAATCGTAAGGCTAATTAGCACCGACGAAAGAGAGATATAGTGACTAAATATATTTGGGTCCCAGAGCAGCCAAAATGAGATAATGAGGAAACAATGCCAATAAGCTGTGTTGAAGAACGAGATACCAGCGCGAGAATAAACTTGAAATCCAAGTGACGTTAGACATGCGGAAAGACTTAATCAACCTTTTTTCGTACAGTTACGGTTGGACACTTTGGCGTGGCGTAATGGTTAGGAAGTTGGTCTCGCTAGATCAATTTTTACTAAGTAGTGAGTTCGATCCTCATTGGGCGCCCTATACTTTCGACCTTGTGCCACGTCTAAGCTACGATTAGAAAATCTTTTATAGGCACTTCGATGTAATGGTTAGCAAGTTTGTCTCGCTAGACCAGTTACGACTGAATAGTGAGTGCTCGGTGCTCCGTACTTTCATCCTTGAGCCCTACTTAGAAAACCACCATACAATTACGCTTTTTGCCCTCTTTTTGGACTCGTGTTTTGAATTGTGAAGTTTCCAAATTCGCATTTTTCATTCTCATTGTGTTAAAGAAAATTCTTAATTCAGATTCACGACGTTTTCGGTCATATCTCTCACCTTGACGTTATTCATTGGTTTCATCTCTTGCGATTCCTAAATTAGAAACTCCAATAGGACTGTGAACCTCTCGGTGAGAATCGAACTTATTATCATTATCTACTTAACTAGCATCCTATCCATTGCAACAATCTGTACACACATATCGTCGACATAATATTAGGTTGGGTCATAATTAATTTCCATTTTAGGGAAACAATTGTAATGACGGATATATCAGCCTAACCGCGAATAATATGTGCAGTTAAGAATAAATTTGGAGGGCACTAACATACCTTAGTCTTTGTACGGCAATGGCAATGTACACGGTGGACTAAAGAATATATTTGATAATGCCAATAATGGGGGAATTGAAAGATTACTGTACATGTTACGGAAGTTCAAACAAGAGAATAATGTTATGGAAACATCGAGAAACAATGACGTGTTTATGGACCGGCAAGTACGAAAATTCTTTACAGTTTATTTCAGGAGAAATGTCGTTCATCTTAGGCTTGGAAAGAAAGTCCTGTCGCATTTTTGACATGATCTCTTTAAGGGTTCTTCAATTCTTTTAATTATTTTTTTCACCAGATACAAATCCCAAGAACCACTCAAGAGGGTTACTGAATGAGGTTGTTGAATGAACGTAAGGAGGAGGTGGTAAGAAGTGACGATTACGAGGATGTGTAGGAAAGATAAAGCTTAACCCTTGAAATGTTTAAGAATGTATTGATCGTAGAAACATTCTCTCGGGAATCTGTTCCACAAAGTAAAACTGTTCCTTCTTACAAATGAAATATGAACGGAATGGGGGAGGAAAAATATAAGACAAAGTGCCGTTTTCAGAACCAAACATTTATGGACACGTTGCAGCTGCTGGACTTATAAATGTGCATCTAATGTTTCAATGTGTTTTAAGAACTCTAAATGAATAATACATCAACAACAAACCCGCCACATACACACCATTACCTTTGTTCAATGATGCCCATCTTTTGAGGTCGGTTGTGGAGATTTAACCTTGTCAATCCACTGTCTTTTGCCTTGAACATTGTTGTATGTAACTCACTTTTCATCGCCAGTTATAATATATTTAATTAAAAATTAATTTTAAAAATACCCACTTTGATATTAAGAAATCTGCAAACAAATAAAAAAACATTATAACGTAAAAATGTATGGTTACTTTAAGGTAAGAATTGAAGAACCCTTAAAGAGATCATGTCAAAAATGCGACAGGATTTTCTTTCCAACCTAATAATCGATGAACATGTCAAATAAGGAAAGAGAATAAGCCAAAAGTGAAAAAAGAGGAAAGAAAAAGGGAAAAAAAGAGAAAAAAGAAGAAAGACTAAAGTAAAGAGGAAAAAAGATAAAAGAAAAGCGTAAAAAAAAGAGTAAAAAAAGAAAAAATATAAGATAATCGAATGGTAAAAAAGGGGAAAAATTATTAGACAGTAAAAAGGACGAAGAAAAAGGAAAGAAAAAAGTAAAAAAGGAAGAAAACATAAGGAAACAAGCGAAGGACAAAAAATAACAAATAAGAAAAAGCAGAGAACAGAAAAAAAATGAGGAAAAAAAGAGTAGAATAAAAAAAAAGTAAATAAAAAGAAAGAAAAGAAGACTTGAAAAATAAAAAGAAAGAAAAGAAGAGAATTGTAAAATGATAAAGAAAGAGAAAAGAAAAAATCAGTGAAAATGTTAGGAAAGTGTTCAGTAAAAAGAATAAAAACGAAAGAAATTAAAGCGAAAGGTAAAAAGAAAAGGAAAAGAAAATAAAGAGAAAAGTAAAAATAATGAAAAGATGTGAAAGGAAGGAAGGAAGGAAGGAGACGGAGAAGGAAGAAGGAAGGAAGGAAG